CTTTCTCCCAGGCTGCAGTGCAGTGGCACAATACTGGCTCACTGCAACCTCCACCTCTCAGGTTCAAGCTGTCCTTCCACCTCAGTCTCCAGAATAGCTAGGATTACAGGTGTGTGCCACCACACCTGGCTGATTTGTTGTTGTTGTTGTATTTTTAGTAGAGGTGGGGTTTCACCATGTTGATCAGGCTGGTCTTGAACTCCTGACCTCAAGTGATTCGCCTGCCTCGGCTTCCCAAAGTGTTGAGATTATAGGCATGAAGCACCTCGCCCAGCCAGCATCAGGATTTCTGAAAAGCTTCCCTGTGATTCCAGTGTGCAGTCAGGGTGAAAACCACTGCCACTCCAGGAGAACCTTGACTTGATGCTGGCTCTCCTCACTGATTCAAAATGTTTAACTTTGTCTCTGCCTGATATCCTTGAGTATTTGGGGGAGTGCTGAGGTCCTGTGCCCCAAGGTTCTAGCTTCCAGAAGTCTCCCAGTCCCTTTTATTTTCAACCCCCCACAGCCTTCACACTCCCCAATTCGCCCTTCCTAACCAACAATTCCCAAATCCTGCCCAGAGAGAAGGTTACCAAGGCAACTGGCTTAATCTGGTAACTGTGGCATGTGCTGGGAGAGAAGCCCTTCCCTCCTCCTCTTCGGTTCATAAAATGCTACCTGGGAGCTCCAAGCCATTCCAGCCCCTTTCCCCTTTCAAGCTCGGGGATATTGGGGTGTCCAATAAGGGGAGCACAGAAAGCTGATACTCAAGACTTCTAATACAGCTTCTTAGCCAAAATTGTACACTCCTCTTTTTACTGTTTCCAAATCCACAAACAGATGGGTGTGCAAAGCTTTATTTCTGTGAACACATGCTCTAGCATACATGGGACCAGATATGTACATACATTGATACGTATGTCATACACACCCTGTTCAGTTTTACTACCACTCCCAGCCATCAGCATTCCTGTCCCTGCCTGGTTGGTGCACAGTAAACAGGGGTGGGGCATTGTTCAGGGAGCCTCCATCCATCCAGAACCTGGTGCCACTCCCCCACCTTGTAAGCCTAACCTGGATGTTTTCACACTTAGCATGGGTTTACACTGCACCCCCTTCTTGGACAGTATACCCTTAAGGACAGGACGCTCCTGGCAAAGGCATCAGGAGTAAGGATTACTTGGAGTGCTAATTTGGCACCACTTTGCCCACTCCAGGGCTATGTACCCTTGGGCTCTGTGCTTGATGACAGTCAGCACTTCTGGGGTCTGTCACCTGTCTCCATGGCCCTGCTTCCTTCTGCTGCCAGCTGGGCTCAGGTGCCCCTGTGGTCCTGGTCTCCTCCCCCCTGCCTATTATCTCCTCCTCACCCCAGCTAGACCTGCCACAACCTGCTGCTCCCTGCCTGGCTCCTACCTGCCTGCCAGTACCTGCCCACAGGCTAGGCCCACACTACCTATTGTGCCCTATCAGAGAGGAGAGATGGGCACTGCCTCCAGTGCCAATGCTAATTCACCCAAGAGGCCTTCCTTCCCAGCCCTTCTCACAGAAGGAAGATAAAGTCCATCTATTCCTGTGAGTATGGAAAAGGTGCACACTCTTGGGTTCAGCAATCTGTAGGCCTGACTTGGGTACGCAGGTAGGTGAGTCAAGGTGTCCAGGCCACAGACCTGACTCTTTGAAATAATGCTAAGAACCCGGTAATCCCTTGAGCCAAGAATCTTTCTCCATTGGTAAATCTTTGCCTCACCTTTGCCCTTAATTTCTTCTGCTCAGAACCCAAGACCCTTACTGTTTCCCTCGCGGTCAATCCCAGCGCGCGAGTTCAAGCCTCGTGCGGCGCGGGGGCGGGCCCAGGAAGGGCAGGGGCGGGACTGGGCGGGGACTGGAGGAGGGGGCGCGGTCTCGGTTCTGCCACCTTCCCCCCCACCCGGCCAGGAGCGCAGCCGCCGCCGCCGCCGCCGCCGCCGCGTCCTCTCAGCCTTGCGCTCCGCCCGCTGCTTCTGCCGCCGCAGCCCAGCCCGGGAGCGCAGAGCCGGGGGCACCGGCCCCACAGCCTGCCCACTCTTCGGGCCGCGTGCCGGCTACAGCGGCATGGGGGGCTGCTGAGAGCCGGCACTCCTTCCCTCTGGCACCTCCCCCGGCTACTGGCCACTGGACTCTGGCCAGCGAGGCTCGGCACCTCTGGCCCCTAGTCCGGCGCCTGGCACGGCCCTCTACTCTGCTCCTCCAGCTCTGAGCATCGTGTCCCCGCGCCCCCCCCGCCCGCGCCAGGGACACCTGGGTCCCCCGGCGGCCCCTAGGAGAGGGGCGGGGGGGGGCATGAAGCCGCTGGAGAAATTTCTGAAGAAGCAGACGTCGCAGCTGGCTGGCCGAACGGTGGCGGGAGGTCCCGGCGGGGGTCCGGGGAGCTGCGGCGGGCCTGGAGGGGGTGGGGGACCTGGCGGGGGCGGCGGTCCAGCCGGGGGACCGCGGTCCCTGCAGCGGCGTCAGAGCGTGTCTCGCCTGCTGCTCCCCGCTTTCCTCCGGGAGCCCCCCGCCGAGCCGGGGCTGGAGCCGCCCCCTGAGGAGGAAGGGGGAGAGCCGGCGGGGGTCGCGGAGGAGCTGGGCAGCGGGGGGCCCTGCTGGTTGCAGCTGGAGGAGGTGCCGGGGCCGGGACCGCTCGGGGGAGGGGGGCCCCTGCGCTCCCCTTCCTCCTACTCCTCTGACGAGCTGTCCCCGGGTGAGCCCTTGACTTCGCCACCCTGGGCCCCGCTGGGCGCCCCCGAGCGGCCGGAGCATCTTCTGAACCGGGTTCTGGAGCGACTGGCCGGAGGGGCCACCAGGGACAGCGCCGCCTCAGGTAAGGAGCTGGCGGGCTCGAACACCCGGAGCAGGGGCTGGCCCCGGATCCTCTTCTTTGCCCTTGGAGCATGGGGGTGGCGTCGTTCTGTGGCTTGGGTACAGGATTGAGTGGTCCGCGGAAGCTGGCTAGGGGCCTAACGTAGGCACAGACCCTCCTGCAGAAGAGGGGGCAGTACCCACCTTCCTCCCTGCAGCAGCCTCACCCCCGGCTGGAGAAGCAGCTGAGCCTCTTCCTCTCCTTCAGCCACCCTTCCTTTCCCCTGGGCATTGTAGCCATTGACTTCCACGGGTCCCTAATGTTGAATACCTCCTCCTGTGGGCCCAGATTAGGGCCTGATACATTAAGATGGAAGCTGCCCAGCACAGCCATGCCACCCACCAGAGGTGCTTGAGCTCTGAAAACCCCGGGGTCCCTGACTCTTCAGAGGCCTGCACAGCGCAGGCTGACCCACCCAGAGCGGGGGCTGTTTCAGACAGGAACAGGCCCTGCCTTTTATACATCAGCAAAGGGATGCGTTGTCCTTAGCAGTTTGGCGGTGGGGGGGGGAGGATAGCGTTCTCCTTGGGGGTGGACTCAGAAGGTGTCTGGGAGGGGAGATGTGGCTGGGCTGGCATCAGGGCCCTGCAGCACCCAGGGTGCTTGAGTGCCTCCAGCTCCCACCCTTCCCTTCCTGTGGCAGTGGCAGACCTCAGCACACAGCCTCTTTTTTTTTTTTTTTTTTGAGATGGAGTCTCACTCTGTCAGCCAGGCTGGAGTGCAGTGGCACAATCTCAGCTCACTGCAGCCTCTTCCACCTGGTTTCAAGCGATTCTCCTGCCTCAGCCTCCAGAGTGGCTGGGATTACATGCACCTGCCACCGTGCCTGGCTAGTTTTTGTAATTTTAGTAGAGATGGAGTTTCACCATCTTGGCCAGGCTGGTCTTGAACTCCTGACCTCATGATCCACCCGCCTTGGCATCCCAAGCGCTGGGATTACAGGTGTGAGCCACCGTGCCCAGCATACAGCCTCTTTAAAACATAATCACCACACCCTGAGAAGCTTCTTCCCTAAGTGATGATACTATTTCACCACTCCCTTTCAGCAACCCTACTAAGGGGCCTTTGAGGAAACTGAGGCCTCAAATGGCTGGTTGGTGGCTGAGGTAGAAGACCCAGGGGTCTTTGGGTCTACCTCTAGGCATTGCAGAAAGCCCAGGAGAGTCTGAGGTTTGGGAGCCCCGGCTGAGACCCTAATGCTGAGAGCTTTCACACTCGCTCTCAGCCCTCTGCAGGGAACCCTAACCTAGATGTGTGGAGCGGGGCTCCACTCTCCTAAATCCTTCACAAGACCTGGGTCCTCTCCTTTGGCTCAGGCTGTAGTTGCCCTGAGGAGCTGACACCTTTTGGATTTAATTAGAAAAATATCAGACACACACAGCTCTCCTAACCATAACTTCACGCCTACACCACACACCCTGTGTCTCTATGACACATTCCCTAGGGAGGCTGTACGTTGGCCCAGAGCCTGCCTTGGAAAAGACAGATGCCCAACTGTGGCCCCCATATCAGCATCTCCCCCACTCTGTCCCCATCTTACTCTTCCTTTGCTCCAGCTTAGAAATCCTGTGAGATAAAGTCTATGAAGGATGTCAGGCCTCTCGATTCCTCGTCCCCTTCCCTGAAGCTGGGGGTCAGAGCTGGGGGCTGTCTGACTCACTGTAAGAACACAGTAAGGAGCTGGGCGCGGTGGCTCATGCCTATAATCCCAGCTTTTTGGGAGGCTGAGGCGGGCGGATCACAAGGTCAGTAGTTCAAGATCAGCCTGACCAACATAGTGAAACCCCGTCTCTAAAACAAAACAAAAAACAGCCGGGCGCGGTGGCCTGTAATCCCAGCACTTTGGGAGGCCAAGGCGGGTGGATCACGAGGTCAAGAGATCGAGACCATCCTGGTCAACATGGTGAAACCCCGTCTCTACTAAAAATACAAAAAATTAGCTGGGCATGGTGGTGCGTGCCTGTAATCCCAGCTACTCAGGAGGCTGAGGCAGGAGAATTGCCTGAACCCAGGAGGCGGAGGTTGCGGTGAGCCGAGATCACGCCATTGCACTCCAGCCTGGGTAACATGAGTGAAACTCCGTCTCAACAACAACAACAAAAAAACAACAAAAAAACAAAAAACAAAAAACAGCAAGGTAGCTGGGCAGGGAGGAAAAGGGAGAAACTGTCTTTCCCCTTTTACAGGGGACTGGTGCCACATATTCTGCTCAGTCTCCCCTCGGGTAAGGCTCCTGAAATGTCACCCATGTTATCTGGCAGGCTGGATTCCCAGAGTAACTGCTTTGGGAAATTCCAAACCAGTCCCAGGGTGAAGGAGAATCAGCTTAACCTGCCACTCTGATGTTCTCCAATAAAACCAATGTTCTCAAGTCATCCTGGTCTCCTCCCAGGGTGTGTGGGAGGAGAGAGCTTACAGAAGTTACTCTAAACCTAGCCAAAGCCTCTCTAACATCCAAGCGGCCCCCTCTGACCACTAGGCTTTCCCCAACACTCTGCTTGCCTCAGGCATATTGAGAAAATGACAGAAGACTCAGAATTATGGGTTCTTATTCCAGCTCCAGGCAAGTCCCTCCCAGCTCTGGGCCTCAGTTTCTCATTTGTGAAATGAAATTGTTGAAGTAAATTACCTCGTGTGGGTTTTCCTCCTCCACCTTCATGGCTAGAACTGACCACAGGGGATGGCGAACCAAGGGCCTTCAGAAGCCTTGGTTTTGTCCTGGGACAGTGCCTGGGGACCTGGCCCTAACCTGTCCTGGTGAGGACACCTGGCTCCCTCCCTACACCTTGCCTGTGTGTGCCAGGAAGCCCTGCCCCACCCCAGGGCTGGCTGCAAGTCAGGGCGACCTTGTACCCGGCTGACTGGCTAAGCCAGGCCCAGACGGGGGTGTGGAGGGGAAAGGGGTGGTGAGAGGAGCCACTCCTCTTCACCATTTTCCTTCATTAACCCTTCTGTCTCTGGGCACCCAAAGGACACTAGATTTCTGTATAAAGGTTCTGAGATCAAAGCGATGGCGTCTTTCCCTCTCCCTTTTAATCAGGCTGGTTCTCACCTGCCTAGTTAGAACTCAGAACTGTTAGGTAGGAGATGGGGAGGGGAAGAGGAACACACACACACACACTCCCCCCACTGATGCTGACCTCTGTGTTTGGAAATACTCTTTGTTTAGAGATCCTTCTGTGGGCTGCTTTTTTCAGGCAAAACTCAAACTTGATGTGTTATCTGACCAACTTCCCACACACACTGAAGAGAAGTGCACGTGGCCATCAAAGGCACGCCCCCCCCATTCCCTTCAGCTGCCTTGGCAGCTGCCAACCCCACCCCCGCAGCGGCTGCCCAGAACCTTTACACATGTGTGTGTGTGCGTATGCAGAGCATGACGGGGCAGGTGGCTGGGGCTCCGGCCTGGCTAAAGAGAACTTGCCCTCATGGGCAAGAGAGGGAGGCACTACATTTCCAGTTTCGTTCTGGAAATGCCCTCCTGACATCCTTGGTGCCCACCGATCTTTACAGATATCCTGCTGGATGACATTGTCCTTACGCATTCTCTCTTCCTCCCGACGGAGAAATTTCTGCAGGAGCTACACCAGTAATATCCTTTTGTGGAGTTTGTAAAGGGAGAGGTCAGAGGGAGCCGCTCCCTCCATCACACATGCAATGTCAGAGCCTAAACTCTCCCCTAGAAAACATACCTGGGGCCGGGCGAGGTGGCTCACACCTGTAATCCCAGCACTTTGGGAGGCTGAGGCACGCAGATCACCTGAGGTCAGGAGTTCGAGATCAGCCTGACCAACATGGCAAAACACTTTCTCTACTAAAAGAAAAATTAGCCAGGAGTGGTGGCACACACCTGTATTCCCAGCTACTCAGGAGGCTGAGACAGGAGAATCACTTGAACCTGGGAGGCGGAGGTTGCAGTGAGCCGAGATCGTGCCACTGCCCTCTAGCCTGGGCAACAGAGAGACTCTGTCTCAAAAAAAAAAATTAAAAAATTAAAAAATCTGGGTTTCACTCCCAGCTTTTCTACTCAACAGCTGTGTAACCTGGGCAGATTACCTAACCTCTTGGGGCCTCGGTTTCCTCTTCTGTAAAATAGAGGTAAATAGTACCTGTCCTGCCTACCTATGAGCTGCTGTGAAGATCAGTCTGATAGCAGATGTAGGAGTGCTTTGGAGGCTGCAGAGCCCTGTACAAATGAAAGGTGTTATTTATTTATTTATTTTGAGATGAAGTCTTGCTCTGTCATCCAGGCTGGAGTACAGTTGTGTGTTCTTGGCTCACTGAAACCTCTGCCTCCAGGGTTCGAGCGATTCTCCTGCCTCAGCCTCCCCAGGAATTGGGGACTACAGGCGTGTGCCACCAGACCTGGCTACTTTTTGTATTTTTTGGTGGAGCCAGGGTTTTGCCATGTTGCCCAGGCTGGTCTTGAACTCCTGACCTCAAGTGATTCGCCCACCTTAGCTTCCCAGAGTGCTGGGATTATAGGCGTGAGCCACTGCACCCACACAAGGTGTTATTATTCTACTAAGGGGGCCTCTATCCCCACTGAATTATTGCTCCAAAACATCTGGTTGCCCAGTGAGCTATAATGGGTCTGATGTAAACATCAGGTCATGGTTGTGCTTCAGTGGGGTCTACTAGAGAGGAGCCACTGGATGGGCTATTCATAGGGTCTCATAAGCATGGGCCTCTCATGGAGTTATTCTAGGACCTAATTGTAAATGTCAGACCTCTGAGTAGAATGTCACAGGCTCTTGGCCAGGTGTGGTGGCTCATGCCTGTAATCCCAGCACTTTCAGAGGCTGAGGCAGGTGGATCACTTGAGGGCAGGAGTTCGAGATCAGCCTGGCCAACAAAGTGAAACTCTGTCTCTATTAAAATACAAAAATTAGCCAGGCATGGTGGCGGGCACTTGTAATCTCAGCTACCCTGGAGGCTGAGGCAGGAGAATTGCTTGAACTCAGGAGGCAGTGGTTGCAGTGAGCTCAGATTGTGCCACTGCACTCCAGCCTGGGTGACAGAGCGAGATTCCATCTCAAATAAATAAATAAATAAAGTCACAGGCTCTCTTAGAAACATCAGGCCTTCCAGTGAGGTATAGTCAGGTTTGTGGTAAGCACCATTGGCCTTTATTAGGTGCACTGTGAGCTCCAGGCCCTGGGCTGGACAGGGCTTGGATGGGTCTGGGCAGGGTATCCTCAAGTGAAAATCTAACCTGTCTAACCTGCAGGAGCTGGATGTGGTCAAGTGGGTGCCATCACTACCTACTCTAAGCAAAAACCTGCGCTGGGGCATGAGGAGGTCTTGGCCCCTGAAACTCCTTTCTCTCTGGCCCCAAGTCTAGCAATTTAGCCTCCCATCTTTTTTTTTTTTTTTTTTTTTTTGAGATGGAGTTTCACTCTTATTGCCCAGGCTGGAGTGCAATGGCCTAACCTTGGCTGGGTTCAAGTGATTCTTCTGCCTCAGCCTCCTGAGTAGCTGGGATTACAGGCATCTGCCATCACGCCCAGCTCTTTTTTTGTATTTTTAGTAGAGATGGGGTTTAACCATGTTGGCCAGGCTGGTCTTGAACTCCTAACCTCAGGCGATCCGCCCATCTCAGCCTCCCAAAGTGCAGAGATTACAGGCACGAACCCCCATACCCGGTGTTTCTTTCTTTCTTTCTTTTTTTTTTTTTGAGATGGAGTCTTCCTCTGTTGTCCAGGCTGGAGTGCAATGGCGCGATATTTGCTCACTGCAACCTCTGCATCCTGGGTTCAAGCCATTCTTGTGCCTTAGCCTCCCAAGTAGCTAGGATTACAGGCATGTACTACCATGCCCGGTTAATTTTTGTACTTTTAGTAGAGATGGGGTTTCACCGTGTTGGCCAAACTGGTCTCAACCTCCTAACCTCAGGTTATCTGCCCACCTCAGCCTCCCAAAGTGCTGGGATTATAGGTGTGAGCCACTGCACGTGGCCTAGCCTCCCATCTTTCTCCTCAGTTCCTCAGGTCTGCTTGCCTAGGGGTTTTTCTTAACTTAAGGTCAGCTTTGTTCGTGCAGGAGGCATGGAGGGTCCTGAGGGGCTGGGCCAGAAGCAGGCCTGTCTAGCCATGCTTCTCCATTTCTTGGACACCTACCAGGGACTGCTTCAAGAGGAAGAGGGAGCCGGCCACATCATCAAGGTGGGCCTTGGGGAAGAGAAGGTGGGTAAACGGGCTATCAGGTCTAGAAGGGGGCCCCTGTGAAGGAGCCATACTTTTGATGCTGGGTACGTGGAAGGAAGAGATGCCAGGGGGCCTTAGGTTATATGGCTCTTCTGTGCTCAAAGGCATGGAGACTTGTCTGGCCCCGGCAGAGAGTAGCCCTTGGGATGAGACCCCTTCCTTCACCTTCTTTGTCCTCCTCTCTCTAGGATCTATACCTGCTAATTATGAAGGATGAGTCCCTTTACCAGGGCCTCCGAGAGGACACTCTGAGGCTGCACCAGCTGGTGGAGACAGTGGAACTAAAGTAAGGGGGAATGGGGCAAGGGCGGGAACAGAAAAGAGATCCCCTGTGTTCCTCTATTACAGAGGTTGCCTCTGGCCTATGGGCTCCAATATGGATTTGTTTGTTTTGAGACACAGTCTCACTCTGTCACCCAGGCTGGAGAGCAGTGGTGTAGTCTTGGCTCACTGCAACCTCCACCTCTTGGGTTCAAGTGATTCTTGTACCTCAGCCTCCGGAGTAGCTGGGATTATAGCGTGTGCCATGCCCAGCTAACTTTTGTAATTTTAGTAGCAATGAGTTTCATCATGTTGGCCAGGCTGGTCTCAAACTCCTGGCCTCAGGTGATCTGCCTGCCTCAGCCTCCCAAAGTGCTGGGATTACAGGTGTGAGCCACTGTGCCCAGCTTCCAATACGGTTTTATTTCAACTCCTTTCTCTCACTGGAGGTGGCACAAAGCACTGTCTCCAGTCACTTTTTTTCTTTTGTTCATTCTCCCTCTACATTGTCCAATAATCCAGTGGTGTACTGGTAAATATTTAACAACCAGTGCTGCAGAAGAAAAAGCCTGATTTGTAGCTTTTGCTGATTCCTACAGTGTAAACTCTGTCACCATGGCTGATTTCAAGCTACCAACACTGAAGGAGGAGTTGGGAAGAGACGTGCAGCACAGGCCGTTATGTAGTATCTCCACCATAGTAGATGTGGTAAAAGGTAGTGAAACGGCTGGGCAAGGTGGCGCATGCCTGTAATCCCAGCACTTTGGGAGGCCGAGGCGGGTGGATCACGAGGTCAAGAGATCAAGACCATCCTGGCTAACATGGTGAAACCCCGTCTCTACTAAAAATACAAAAATTAGTTGGGCATGGTGGCGTGCGTCTGTAGTCCCAGCTACTTGGGAGGCTGAGGCAGGAGAATTGCTTGAACCTAGGAGGCGGAGGTTTCAGTGAGCCAAGATCACGCCACTGCATGCCTGGGCAACAGAGTGAGACTGTGTCTCCCAAAAAAAAAAAAAAAAATAGTGAAACAGGAAGGAAATTACCTTTTTTGTAGTAACTTATTTGAGTATACGTTTTACATATTATTTGTTAATTTTATTATTTTTTATTAGAGACAGGGTTTCATTATGTTGATCAGGCTGGGCTCAAGCAATCCTCCCACCTCGGCTTTCCAAAGTGTTGGGATTCTAGGTGTGAGCCACCACACCTGGCCTGACTATAAGCTTATAAAACATATATATTTATTTATATTTTAATGGCTCTTTAAAAACCAGTTGGCAAAATTCCCCAGAACTTAACAATCTGCTCTTGTGAGCCAGTGTAAACTAGCTTCAGGACACCATTGCATTCATCTCTCCGTCTGTCCATCCCTCTATCCATCCATCCATCCATCCATCCATCTATCCATCCATCCATCCTGCCCTTTTAGTTTCTCTCTTCTCCCTCCCCACCACCACAACCCTAATGGAGGCCTCAGCTTGTGGTCTGGCATCCTTCTCTCCCTTCTCTGTGCTGACACTAGAGAGATCTTTCATGCTCCTATTCCAAAGGCATCCCTGCTCCCCATGCTTCTAAGAGAAAGTGAAACATCCCAGCATTCAACACCCTTCCCTTTCTGCCTTCTGCTGTTTCTTCCCGTCTTATCTCCCACATCCCGTTCTGACACCGCAACTCCTGCACTCTCCAACTTCCCACAGTCAGTTATATTGTCCACCCCAGAATGCCCTTCTCCTACCCCCTTCTCTTTTTGTTCTTTTTTTTGAGACAGAGTGTCGCCCTGTCACCCAGGGTGTAGTATAGTGGCACAGTTTTGGCTCACTGCAATCTCCACCTCCCAGGTTCAAACAATTTTGGATTCTTGTGCCTCAGCCTCTCAAGTAGCTGGGATTACAGGTGCACACCACCATGCCCAGCTAATTTTTGTATTTTTAGTAGAGATGGGGTTTTGCCATGTTGGCCAGGCTGGTCTTGAACTCCTGGCCTCAAGTGATCAGCCCACTTCGGCCTCCCAAATTGCTGGGATTACAGGTGTGAGCCACTGCACCTGGCCTCCACCCTCTTCTCTTCCTGCTCTCCTCCAAAGCCCAGTCAAATGCCATCTTCTCAGTGAAAACTTCCCAGATCCTTTTAGGAATGGCTTTCTCCTTCCCCCGCATCAGCACAACTCTCCTGGTACGTTTGTTACATCACCAACACCTCTTGCCTGGTGTTAAAAGTAGCTGTGTGCCCGTCTGTCTCCTTCCCAGACCGTGAAGTTCTTGTCAGCAAATTCAGCAAACAACTAACTGATGATCAACTACCTACCATGCGCCAAGCAGTGTGCTAGGCCCTGGAGGATGAAAAAAATATTCAGTAAGGACCAAATTCCTGGCCGGGCATGGTGACTCATGCCTGTAATCCCAGCACTTTGGGAGGCCAAAGCAGGCAGATCATGAGGTCAGCAGTTCGAGACCAGCCTGTCCAACATGGCGAAACTCCATCTCTACTAAAAACTTAGCCGGTCATGGTGGTGGGTGCCTGTCATCTCAGCTATCTGGGAGGCTGAGGCAGGAGAATCGCTTGAACCTGGGAGGTGGAGGTCGTAGTGAGC